GAGCAAAGCAGGAAAAACTACGTGGTGCCACCGAGGAATCACCCGTGGAAGACCATTGGAACTCTCTGAAGGTGATTTTCAACGAAACGTGTTCAACGGTTTTAGGAAGAAAGAAGAGACAAGACAAGGAATGGCTCTCAACGGACACTTGGAAACTAATAGAGGAGAGGAGAAAGGTGAAAGAGAAAATGATTCAATGCAAAGATGGACAAGAGAAAGAGACGCTGAACTCAACTTACACAGCACTGGACAAAGAAGTGAAGAAGAGTGCCAGGAAGGACAAAAGACAATTCTACGACAATCTGGCCACTGAAGCTGAGAAGGCAGCAGGCAAAAGGGACCTAAGGACACTATATCAGATAACCAAGTCTCTATCCGGGAAGAGATCAACACAAGTGAAACCTATAAAAGACAGCCAAGGGAACCCAATTACCAAGGAAGCAAAACAGATTAAACAATGGACGGACCACTTCCAAGGACTCTTGAACCGACCACCACCTGTAACCCGTCCAGAAATACCAACAACAGCACGTACACAACTGCAAGTTGACACCGATCCTGCAACGAAAACTGTAATCTTGAATGCAATCAAGCTTCTGAAAGCTGGAAAAGCAGCTGGACCAGATGGAATACCCCCTGAGGCACTGAAGGCGGACCCAGAAACGACAGCAGATATGTTGACTCCTTTACTGCAAAAGGTCTGGAAGGAGGGAAAGGTGCCTACTGACTGGAGGAAAGGTTACCTGGTGAAACTACCAAAGAAGGGCGACCTGGGACTCTGCAAGAACTGGCGAGGAATCATGCTCCTGTCGACGCATCTATTGGCTTGTCACAATTCATCTGTTTTTCTAGCCATTTTGGGATATGCTCTCCCACCCTCACGTGCAACGAGCTATTACTCCTCCCTATGTATGTATGCCCACACACACGAAAATTGGCAAATTGTGTGGGATGTGATATAATCACTTGTGTACTTTTGAGGTTTGCAGTGAAGCATATTTTTAGCTTTTTCCACAATTACAAGCTGGGCTGCACAGTAGGTTCTACGGATGATCGAATTCAACCTTTGTCTCAAAATCCTACTATTTAATTCCCCCTTATATGGTAATTTGATGAAAACCTTTTTCTTGGGGACGGTATGGATTGTAGGTTTAGAGGCTAGTTGTCTTCTACACCTGTTTAAAAATTTCAAAGGATATCCGTTTTCAACAAGAGTGCCCATCAATATTTCGTTTTCTTTGTCCATAACATCAGCCGTGCAAATACGCTGAATCCTCTTAAATAGACACTTCATCAAGCCTCTCTTATATTGTAATGGATAGAAGCTGTGAAAATCAAGGTATTACCCTGTCCAAGTGGGCTTTCTGTAGATAGATCGTCTTATTGAGCCATCGTCTCTTCGACTCAGAAGTATGTCTAAAAATGCGAGCTGGTTGCGACTTTCTTCCTCGCATGTAAGACTAATATGATTCTCTACAGAGTTAAGTCTGTCTAACAGACGACTGGCATCTTCATGATCGTCGCATATCAAAATGATATCGTCTACATATGTCTTATAGAAATTTATAAAAGGGACTAACTTTTAAATTTTTGACCAATAGTTATTGTATAAGAATGGAATTTGAACACTTTTGTAGAGTAAAATCTCATTATAAAATAATTGTGTTTGATAAAAACAAGCAGTGATACAGGATTATTTACTGATGACGTTTAGAGCACAATATATTGCCTATAATCATGTCAGGGCACTCACATAACTTACAAACCTTATTCATGTCATTCCACTAGTTTTCAGAAAAACAACCCAGCAACCTCAAGGCATTCAGATAACAACCAGTCCACAATAAGGTGAGACAGAGTTAAAGGACTGGAGAGTAATACAGGTTGATCGATCACTGAATCTTTGCTCATCGAATCTACATCCAACTCATACGATAACCATGACTCGACGCCAATATCAGCGATATGGAAAATATTACTAACAACGGAACTAAAGTATAAGAAGTAATGGAATTATATAAACAAAGTTTAGAAGTTCGTGTCTTGTCAGTGTCTTGGATTGATTAGAATCAATAAATTGTACTCGAAACACCATCAGTGAACAATACTGTATCACTGAACGTTATATATCATGTTAAATTATTCTATGATGGATATGTATACATTATTGTATGTGATAAAAATCATGCACGTCGTAGATGATAACGCTTTTTAACACTTATTACAATTAGTTTCACACAATGACACTCATCAAACTCCAGAAATCATCTAATCATGCTCATTTTGCATCGATTTGTTGCATATCATATAGACATTTATTCCAAAAACAAATCAATGTGACAGTTGTTTTTATTTTTTGTTTGTTTCAAATTACAATTTAGTTCAGAGTTTAAGGTCATATAATGAATTCAACAGATCGAACTTGTCAACAATTATCAAGTTCGACTACATTTCACGTAGTTACAATGTAGACTTCACTGCAAACCAATATCAGCTTAAGAGGCAGTGAAAACCGAGCAGAACTGGGTAGCTGTTCACTTCTATTTTAGGAATGTTTATCAGTGTGCACCCAGCGGTAGTGCCATGTTACAAAATGACAAAGCTGGAATTCACAGGTCCCTGAATTCCTACCCAAGTGGTTGAATGAGCGACGAGCTTGGTTGGCCTTGTAGCCTGAAGGTCCCGGGTTCGATCTCCAGTGTGGTCGTAACCACTCATTGCTGAAGAATTCCAAACTAAGACGAAGCAGAGACCCAATGCTCCCTGGTTTCTCTAAATTGTGACGCAGTGTACATTGAAATTATCAATTTACTCATCTCAAACTGCGTCATTTTTCATCAATCGAAACAAACAAATTACATACACTATATAATAAAATAAAGTTGAGAGAATAAATAATGAATCACCAACGATAAATTGTTCACAATAATAGAAAAAATAATTATGGTTATTAGGATGTTAAAAATTTGTGAATACTTATCAACGAACGAGATGTTAGAGAAGAAAGAATAATAAGACTTATTCAATAAAATGACATCTCGAAAGATGCACTCAACGCATATTCTTTCTAACTGACAAGCATCAATTTAAACAAAGTAATTTTTAAGAAGTGAGAATGAATTAATATGATGAATTAAGTGAAGTGGAACAATAATGAACACACAGTTTAATTTTCAGACAACGTGGAGAAGATAGAAGCTCTGTCTACTATCAGGTATAATCAGGATAACCAAATTTTACCATCCCGTATCCACGTTAAAACAGTATCTGACATGGTGAGTAACTCTGAACAAGAGCAAAGACATACATGAATATTATAGTGCCACACCCTACCACTCAACGTCAAAACCTATCTAACCTTCAGCTAAAAGTAAGCTGTCACACTCTATGTGACGGATACACCACTATCGTTAGTCATTAAACGGAGCTTTAAAATGGATGGCCTAATAGCTTGAAATTACTAAAATATGTACAGGTCACCGATGCATGAATTCCAGTCTCAGGGTTTAGTAAATCTACGATCTATAGTTCCAAAAATATCAATTGTTCGAAATAATCAAGTGTTCTTTGAATGAGACGTTACGTGTAACCTAGTGTTACCGTAAACATTGGCAAAATCTCGTCATGTATTTTGAGCAAAAGAGATCATGACTCATGAGTAATCACTAGAAAATCACAGTTTTAACTCTAGATTCTGTTCTAACTGACACTCAGTAACTTAAATACCACGTAACTCAGATGAATCGTATTTCACTGTCACACTAAATCATTCAATCTGCATATAATTTCACAGTGATCAAACATTAAAAGTTGTATATGTGGACAGTCGACAAAAACAAGGAACATCTCAGTTTACCATAAAAGTATCTAACTTCATCAATGGCTGAAACTGCTTGGAACCTCATGAGAAATGTAAACGACATCAGGATCCCCCCCTCCCACAAATACCTAGTTAACGACAACTGGAAATCACAAAACTTAAATTCAAGACTTCCTGCTTACTGATTTATGATGTCTCGTACACTTCGGATGTACTCTTATCAACACATTTGCATAAATATTAGAAGATTTATGTCTGAACTTAAAATAAACAGTAGGTGCTCATGAACACTTAACAGTTGAATGAACTTAAAGTGGTGACAGTAACTAGAATGAATCGCTATTTAGTCTGGTTTTAAAAATCAATGATAACCACCTGTGAGCAACGCATAGTATCGTGGAACATGCATCGATGGTTTAACGGTACGGTGCTTCTCAGCAATACACAACGTCCGAACTCGAATCCCAGCTGAGCGCTTGCGCTTGAACAAACATATCATCAGTATTTCGAATGTATGCTATGGTATAGCGTACATATAACTGTGTTAGGTTGGAACATATATATATGCAGAGAGAGAGAGAGTAGCTGGTAGCGAAAATCAACGCGAGTGAAAGATCATTACATACTTGGAGATAGCAATACTGAATGATAGAGACTTTGGGATTAGATGTTAGTACAAAAGTGCATGAGATGTATATCACTTCCAAATATATGGAAATTTGAAGTTCCTAGTTGCACCCATCTTTTATAGCGGAGTACACCATATGAATACGAACTTCATCGAATCTTATAAATATTTCGCCCAATTATCTAAAAGAATAAGAACCTATGAAGGAATGATAATTAGAAACAATAAAATATTTAGTTGATTGTTATGACAGAAAACTGTTTCAGTGGATGTAACTAGTTTATGAAGGCTGTTTGTCACTGTTTCGCTTACAAAAGTTTTCTAAGTATGTGCTATCAAAGGCATTATGACTCTTTAATTAATAAGAATGGGATATTTTGCTTTGACAAAATGAATATCAAATGTTCACCGAATTATATAATAATTAGCATAGAATACTTTCATCGCATTTTCAATAGATTGTCGCAAAGCAGGATGCAGGAATTCACTTTCAAACAATCTGAACAGTATTGAACAGTTCTTAAATGAGGCATGAAAACACTAACCACTTACCTGACAGGTGAATACGGTGCACCAGGTCTATTTTTGTCACGTTCAGTTTGTTCATGCCAACGAAATATTAAACCCCAATCAAAACCACCAACTTGAACATCTTGAGGTTTAGCTACATAAACTCTTAAATCTTTATCATTTATTGCTGATATCACAGGAACAACAACAATTGACGAATTATAAGCAATACGCTCTAAGAGTGGTTCAAGCCAACCTGGAAAAAACAATAATACACAATTAATTCTGGTTGTCTGCACAGTTAAACAGGTGGAAACTCGATAGAAGGAAAACAGCGTTGAAAGTACAGGATGTAGTCAACTTACACCTGAGCATCCTGGTTCTAGATCTAATTCTCTGAACAAAACAGTTTCAAAATTAAACAACAATCTGCATCAAAGTATGTGATCATTGTCCACCGAAACAAGATGCATGAGAAAATACAATCAACGATATTATCCGCCAATAGCCGATGTGGACAGGCAGAAAGTACCAACTTCCCACACACGTCTATCAGTACCTGGAACTCATTCATTCGATATTTGCCTACTGCATTCCATTCACTACAACAAAATTAACTACCTGCTTCTACTGCGAATATTCCTCCTGTTACAACACTGTCCGCACAGCTGTCGTCTCAAGCTAACGACTCCTGAACACAGATACTAAACGCAAACTAGATTAACTGCAAATGAAGTAGCCTGTATGCTACACCATTGTAAGACAATACATTCTGCACATTTAATATAAAGAGGACTGTCATGAGGCAACAGAATTAAACGATCCTCCACACATATTCTCTTCACAGTTATCTCTGGAATGTCACCAAATGACAAAATTAAAAAGAAATGATGCTGAGACTGAGCAAACTTGTTCCTCCCTCACAACAGTAAACTCTAAATTTCCTTCAGATGTATTTGCATACAGCTTTCAGAATGTCCGTATATTCGCATAGGAATATTCCTACATCATGAAACATATTCTACATGTGATAGTCTATTCCACAAACTACTAGGTGGTTTCACTAAGACAATTAGGTGAAGAGAAGGTTAAGCTAAAACTACGGACCTTAGTTCCAGTCAAAAATACACTTCCACCATTCAATATCGTCTAAAGTCCTCTAACAGAATCACACAGTTAGAAATGGAAAAACTCCCATGTTGGAGTTGTGTAGAATTACAGGACTACACGTACACAGGAAAATCATCACTTCTAATTACCGTGGATTTTATAAATACTGTAACTGTACTACACAGCCTAATTGTCATCTTTCTTAGTCTTTCAAAGCGCGGCTTTACAAAGCATTAGCCAACTACTAAAAATATCCTAAACATTGGAAATATTAGCGTAAAGGCAGGTCGTTCAATATGGTGCATATCTTAGTATTATGAATGGACAATAATAATAAAAGAAAGAACTGCTCAAAGTAAAAGAAGGTATGAGAAATGCACAATTCCACGTCACCATTATCATCAGTATAGAAAACTTGTTAATAATTAAATATCTAGAGGTGAATGACAATTGGATGAGTGAAACAAAAATCAGAAATTCTTTCTTTTCACACAATAGATGGTAGGTACATAACGCACAAGACTATGCACACAATCAGATTAGACGAAAAGTCTTCATTCCGTAAATACTCAATTGATTTACAAGTGTACAGTTGACTAATAAACAAGACATAGTAGTAATAATAATAATCATAGTAATTGTAATACATAATGAAATATTACAGTTCTATGAGGGTCAACAGAAGTTGAAGGCTTAATTAACTCATTCATTTATTGAAACTAGCAGTATTGATTACTTACTGAACGATAGATAGTTTCTTTACATTTTCGTGTCCATGAGACTTAACCATTGAACACTGAATGTAATCTTTTCAAACAAAATGTGCTTGGATATATTTGAAGATAACTAACCAGCAATAATATGCATCGGTTAGTATAAACAGGATGAATCTAAAAGAAATCGCCTCTTTCACTTATTTAGACAGTATCATTATATTATAGGAGGCACGGATGAGGTTATTAATGCCAGTTATGATCAGGAAATCAAGACAGACCATTAATCTGAAATCAATGTGGGAATCTAATGCACTCAGCACAAGCAACAAAATTCTCATTTTCAACACAAATGTTAAGCCAGTCAGTTCTTCTATATAGGTGAGGAATTTGGCGCGTCACCAAAATCATTTTCAATGGGCTACTGCAGTGTGTTATTTACTCTTGCCTTTGCTGGTTACATACTGAAGATCAGATGGCTAGAGTGGATTAGCGACAAGAAACTCTGCGAGTGCGCCAATCAAAAACCTGTTGCTCAAGAAATATGCCAAAGAAAATGGAGATGGATTGGACACATACTGAGGAGACCATCGGTGACATAGTGCTTTAGGCCCTCGAATGGAATCCGAATAGTAAGCAATGAGTTGGGCCTCTTAGTGTGACATGGAGGAGAACGTGAGAGAACGAGGTGAGCGAATATGGGCAACCATGGAGACAGACAACGGGGACTGCGGAGGATAGGATGAAGTATCGATATGCTGCTTGAGCCTTATGTTCCACTCGGAACCCAAGGGAATAATAATAATAGTAAAACATTACTATCAAAAGCCTCCTCTCTCCAATGTATTCGTGTGCTCGATTTTTAGACAATATTGTTACTGCAGGCTACTGCAATGCACATGAATGAACATTGTTACATACAGTTATTTTAAACTTTTATTGCACCTTAGAATACGACGTTTCATAATAATAACTTGTACTAATTGGTTTACAACTCACAGATAAACAGAACAGGATAGCACATGATGAGAACATTCAGGAACGAAGGGAATAATAAAAGAAGTTATTTGGTAGGAGTAGAAAATCAGTTAAAGGAATCGCTAGACTGACAATCTTACAACTCAGCTTTCTGACATCTATGCGAATTTGGGGATCGAAACAACTATTTGTGTATATCTTAGTATTTAATTACAAATGATTACTATTTATTGTATCACAGTGGTTCAACAGTAGGATGCTCGTCAACCACGCAGGAAGTCACGGTTCGATTCCCAGCTGACTCACTCGTAAACCTCGCCTAGTTGGAAGGATGATAGGGGAAGAGAGAGAGGGTTGGGAGTGAGACTAGTAACCCCAACCTGTAAAAGGAACACCATCGCTACCGGAACTTCAAAGTTTGAAGCCCTATGATGTTCCACTCGGAACTCAAGCAATTAAAAAACAAATTTGTATACCTTAATACTTATACAAAACTAATTATTATTATTGCTACTACTTGTTCGCTTGCTTACTTGCTTGCTTGCTGGTGGATGGAATGTACTAGAAAAGTGAATTACTTATACCCAAAAGTCAATCAGACACAATAACTGTACATAAAAGAACAAGGGTATACCTGTAGTGCATTCAATATGAGAGTCCAGAAATACAAGCACATCACCAGTACTACGCTCCGCGCCAAGCATTCGAGCTCTAATCAAACCTTCACGTTGTTTGGTGCGAACAATTTTAACAATTTTTAGCATTTGCATATATTCCTCCAGTGCTTCTTTGAGATGAGCTGAAGTTTTTGCCAAAAAAAACAAACAAACAAAAAGCAACATAGAAAAGAATAACAAGAAAGATTGAATTGATAAACTTTATCACAATAACACAGTATGCCTAATCCGTTCATAATAAATTGACGCAAACCGTAGGGTGGCCTATGACATTTCAGTGTGTAAATCGTGGACAACATAAGAGGATATCACTGTCCTGACTACACAATAACCTATCCAATACAGAACATTCTCTTAAGAAATGGTCGTACGATTGAATAGACTGATAATATCTAAACATTACAAAAATATGCCCTGGCACTTTGGTCGATAATACAGACTAAAACGTTGGGATTAAAATCAAGAATCTATAGGAAATGAACCATCATGCTGCCGATTAGAATAGGTAACTTTTTATAAATTATATGTAATATTAAAGAAAGGAATTCAGCAGCGTACAGTTACTCTTTTCGGTGATATCATTCTCAAGTTTTACAATCGTATTTACATAGTAAATTTGCTTAACAAAATAGTGAATATTTCCAAAGATTTGTTGTTAGAATAGTAAATTTTAGATAACAAATTACGTATAGCTTGAGAGTGATATAGACCGAAAAGAGTCAATTTTCGCTGCTGCTAAACGCTCTTTCTTTTATATTGTGAGTAACCTGAATAACCTAATATCGATTTGTAAAAATAAAGCCTATTTATGCACACAAAAATTAAATACTGAAGCAGGTGTACAAAAACACTCTAACACTCTTATGTACAGAAATAAATCAAAACTCACGTAGATTAGAAAAATCATCAACCAGTATAACCTCACGTAATAAATGTGCTGGAGATCGATCGATCACTGAATGTACAGAACGCAATAAAGCTGACCAAGCTTCATTGTGAAAACAGATTATAACAGATGTAGACGGTAGATTTGGTGAGTATGTATCCACTTTACACCTAAATTTAACAACAGCAAAAATTAGAATGTTTCCACGATGAGAAATTGTAGAAAAGAAAAGAGAAACTTCTTTAAAAAAAATGAATGATTCTGTTTTATTAGACCGAGAATCATAGAATGTTAGCTCGTGAACTATATTCATTAATTTGATTAGAGATTCGACTGGTTTCAAATTTGACCACGGATTGATATCAATTAGAGAACCATTGTATATTCAATCATTAAAAGTGTTAAATGCACATATCATCATCCAGCCTTCAATAAAACAGCTCCATGTAGTTTAGGATACACAGCAAAGACAGATCAACCATAGCGTGTATATAACTTTCGGAGAGACGATTGCAGAGAAGAACATTTCCCGCTGGACAAAGTTATCAACTAGGTTGTACATTCAAGTATTGTGTAGTAAATGGGTGAGAAAGTTACAGAACTATCTCCGGTCAACAGTCAAATTATTAGTAAATTGCAAATAGGGATTAGAGTGTAATAATAAACAGGAAGATCGCATAAAAACCAAATCATTATCATAATTACTGAGAAAATTGACTTCCTATGCAATTGTGGGGTTAAAAATGTAATAATAACAAACTAGACAGGAGGTTCCAATAGAAAAAAAACATAGTAGGACAATCAATCACTATTGAAAGAATTGACTTTTTATGATAACCATAGTAGAGACAACGGTTGAATGTATTTCTCTTGAATGCATAGCGTAGGCTTGAACTTTTCGATCACTAGTGACTGACTTATGCCCAAATGCCTTCATCTCACTCCCTTTGAGACGTTTGATCCGATCTTTTATATGACTTTGAAAGACATATCGAATGGAGCTGGATGTCCTGAATTCACCAGATGTTCTGTCACCGAACTATGTGCCCAGTTGAGCTCTCAGATTGCTAGCGAGATTGGATGATGTTCCTAAGTGCGTTTTACAAGAGGACGGATGGTACGGCCAACGTACTCAGTTCCACAAGACCAAGTGAACTAGTATAAACATATATATACGTATGTATATATATATGCATATAACTTTCAAGAAATTGTCGAATGGTAACTGACACAGGTGTAAATTCCTGGGTAATGACGAAACCTACGAATCACATTTGCAATGGCACTGCCAGGAAGTTTGACGTGCTACTATGGGTGTACACTCTAGATGATGAGAACGCATCTACCAAACAACTGAGGTAACAGTAGGACGTCTCACTTCAAGTTACTGACTCAAGTCGGAGCCAGTATAATAATAACCTCGGTAGCATTGTACTGAGAAAATAGACAGCTGACCAAATGGTGTTATCAACACAAGACCTAGCAGTGGTACACTACACTTCGAATTGTCACGCTCCATGTTTAAACATTAAGTAAGGCTGACTGTTAAGACCAACCAGCCACACCTCCACAACTCAAATGAAGACATGAAGGGATTTGTGTCATGATGATTGATTGTGAGTCATATAGCCTGAATTCTCGGAAAATATTCCATGACATCCACGTAAACCCACGTCAGACAATCTAGACGTCCTCACACGGTGAGACTGATAGCGATTTAGTAGATTGGGGTTTTTTCTTCATCTTCTCATTCATGTATTTCTTCAAATGTCATTCTACTTTTATTTTGGGGGTAGACAGCAACTTTGCAGGTGTCAAATATACCTCCAGAATATTTGAACTATAGAGATTCACACCTTCCTCATCAGAATTACTCATATTACCCAGAAGTATACGCCTAAATTATACACTGCTCATTTATCGACTCTACAAACACAACTGTCAGAGAACAGATATTTGCAGCCTTCACAGATTTATTTTAAACAACCATGTTTTGCATCCACGCGTTGGGAAATAGAGAACTAATTACCAGCACATGTAAAGTTTACTTGACAGACGAAGCTTTTCGGTCAAGTATGATAAAAAACAAATGGATGTTTTGCGACCGTATTGAAATTTCATTGATTACTAACCCATTGGAGTTGATCAAAATACCTAAGTAACAGCAATGCTTGAGGCATACAACTACGTCACTGCACACGGTCACGTTCAATATCCGAACACACTTATCTTGAAATAACAATTTACAGATAAGTAGTAGAAGACTTATAGTAGAAATTCTCAATTCTACGACTTAAAGTGTTCACAAAACCCACTACCTACATGTATCAGGACTATAAGCAAATTTATCAAATGTTTTGCGTAACCAAGGGGAAAACCAAAGATCTTTCTAAGCATACTCCCTCCTAGAATTCATGGACTCTTTGCACCTTCCCTCCAATAGCCAAAAACAACAATCCACAATGTTTTACAACAGAGTAGAAATGGTACCAGACTTCTCCATGAGAAGTAACACTGTCATTTTCTAGCAACCACACAGTCTTAGTATTCTCACCAACAAACAGAACTCGCAGGGATTTTCTATTTCTTTATCAGTATCCATTACAGTGTAGACGTACGAGTGTACAGATTAACAAGTGATAACTATCCAAGAACGTGATTTAGACTGAACGCAAGTCTTTTACTGAACCGCTGAAACTGTAACTTACATTGATACGCTTTGGCTGAGTCCAAAGTTGAAGTGAGTCTGGTGATTACCATTTAAACAACACCCCCTTTCTGAAATATGAACCTGAAAACACTTTTACAAATCAATCACTACTATAAAATCTCTGGGGATGAGACTTCAAGAATTCATACACTACACTGTGAGATAATAGTTGGTGATATTAGTTGGTCACCGAATACTTTATCAGATCAATAAGAGTTTTCTCAACGCAAAACCTGCTAGCTAGTAGTACAACTCATGAACGAATCAACCACAACCACAGGATATTAAAAGAATATAGAACAGACAGATCCTAGAAAGAAGAATTACTGAACGTTTCTACCTGTCTCCAGTCAAACGACAAACTAATTCACCAACAACCTACATTCTGTACAAAAAAACTAAATACAAAAGAGTATACTTTCGACATTAAAGTCTCGAACCAAAAGGTTTCAAAGCATAGAAGTTAACTTACTTTCCTTCTCGATAGTCTGGTAAATATCGTCTAACACTGATACGATCACTAGCATATTGATTGAAAGCGTTATCCATCCATCCTTGATCGAATTTTTCACGTTCAGCTGGTGGCAACTCATCACGTTCCACTTCGTATGGTTTACCACCTTCGCCTTGTCCAAAATGAAAAAGAAACTGCATATGTCACAAGGTAAAACTAGTTGGGGGTAATATCATCACTGAATACAATCAAAGGAGAACTACAAAAATCGAGTAAGCAAGTTGAATGATTACTAGAATACTACGATACAACGAAAAAATCACTGTGAGAAAGGCGCTTACCAGACGAAACTAACGATCAAAAAGATCTTTCTACTTTAGATTCCCTTGATGACTATGGCGATTATTCAAATGAGTAGATTAAATATCATTTATCAAGGGAAACAGCCGTTTAATGCGTATGCAGTATTTCGTTTTTATCATCAAACAAATAATTATAAGTGATAATATCTTAAATTGAGACAGGAATACCTACCAGATGGTATGCTTACAACAAATGAACATAACGATAGCAATAATAACGAAAGCATTAGCACCGATCAAACATAAAAATGAACAATACGATAACAGAGGCTAACAAAACTACATGCACATTAGGAAGGCTACATGAAAGATATTTTCCTGTACCCCAAATGAAACATAAACAAATTTTAGAAAATGGATGCGACTTCATTGATTCATATGGAGTAGACAACCATTTTTCATGTCTCACTTTCCTACAACTAATTACAGAATTATGAACGATAAATTACTGCTTAGTAAGACGAAATATTTGAATAATTGCTGCTTAAAACAAGGATTCTACATCGCCGTCTAGAATAATTTCAATTTATTGAATTCCTGATACCTAGTCAATCACATTACTTGAACTGATAACTGTTCAATTAGGCTTGTATTTTCAGACATTTCGGTCTACAACAATCTTACTTCTGCTTGAATTAGTTCCATGGAAAAGTGGAAATTGACAGTTCGTTGTAAAGCATTTTCTTGGTCTACCTGTACCTGTAACTGTCCAAAGATGCCTTTGTTCATACAGTTCTACGACTTTTCACATACACCTTAGGGAACTATTAGTCATGTTGTAAGATTGGCATAAACCTGTGCCTGAACTCTCTCTTACAGTCAAACCATTAGAAGGAGTTGTGGATTTCACGTATTATGGTAGTTATTTGATTATTGGCTGTAATTTCTATGTGTAGTGAAAGCTAGGCCAGAGCACGTCAACATGGGCTACTCCTATCGCCATCAGGATGTTATTCTTACCGTAAAATGTTTGAGAATAGAAATCAATGCCGAACATCCTACAACTTCCTTTCCTTTCCTCTATTTCTGAAATTTATTTGAAATAACGAACGCACTTCTGTACATGTTCATGATAACCATGCTTATTAGTCTCTCTTCAGTTGTTCTTGATTCTTTTTGCATCTCTCCTTCCTATATTCTTATTTTACCACTTTGTGTTGTGCATATTATGATGGCCAAATTGTATCAAGTTAGTGTTTTAAAGAAGATAAATAATAATAATAATGACAGAACGCTCATCACCTCATAAACTGAAACATCTCAAAAGATATTAATTTCAAGATCCTAATGAATCACACTAAGTGACATTTGCAAATTTATCGACAGTAAGAATCTCATTTAATATTACTAGTATTTTAGAAAGTGATTATAACACCACACTGAAGTTACGTATCTGACACAAACAAATATCCTCTCTGCATTGTTGAAGTCTACCAAGCATGCAGTATCGAAATAAATAGGAATAGACTAAATAAGAAGTAGCAAATCTATGATGTGTGACCATATAGGCATATACATAAAAACACTGAAAGATATACATACCAGGACCGGTTGAATGTTCGTCGCTTTTTGGAGGTGGAGAACTCGGAAATAAACCCAATTTTGCAATGGCTGATGACCCGTTTGAGTTACTATGCTGACCATACTCTGCATCTGGTACGTCCACTTCATTGTCAAAATCCATAGGTTGAATAACTGCATTGTCTTCCTCAGGCTCATCAGCAGGAGGTATTATATCACGAAAAGGAAGCTTATCATCATTGTCATTTTTATTCGCAAGGTCTAGTTGTACTTTTCCAGGAACTATAAAGACAAAAGTTAAAAAGTGATGTTTATTTGGCGGAAATTATGAAACAACAATTTCATGAGAGACTATAATCATACACTCACTGTTACAGACTATATCTCCGATCATATTTCTAGCAGTGTGATCCTTTTCAACTTTGTTGGTATTAGATGATTACGTCAGCTTTACTATTCCTAGTGCCTCCCTTTTCGCAAGCCTCTCATTCTTATTTGAAATCATGGTCCATTTGGCCGACTTGAGTGGTTATAATTGGTACTCTGAATTCGTATCGGTGGATCGAGACGTTATCAGATATGGTTGAGAATCACAGTCAATGGCGGAAATCGTGCAATTTCCCTCCTTCAAAATTTTGGAAACTAACATGAAATAATGAATGATGGATGACACTGACTAATATGCTCACCTGCTTACTGAATGGCCTCTCTCATTCATTCTCTGTTTTCCTTATATATTGTTGTTTTAATATTTTTTATGTGGCGTATCTCTTGGTTTCCATAAAACGTCAAGTTTGTGTTCGGATAATAATAATAACAATGAAGTTGACACGATTATGTGATTTTAATTTCCCTGACTAAACAACAAGGAAAAATTGATCAGGTCTGAATGACTTGTACATGTAGTGTCTCTGATTTTTGATCTGAACTGTATGGGGGAAATACCGACTGTCTAGGTGGGAACCTCAAGAAAATTGCAAGTGAATTGCTAAACACCGACGGTGACAAACCATAAAATCCTTCAAGATCGTGCAATGTATTCGTTCTTTATGACCTTAAAAATAACTAACATTTCCACCTCCTACATTTTCCGCCAAGGTGGATGCTTCTTCCTTTATCCGTCAAACTACTATTTGAAACCTTTCTGATGGGCTTGTTTATATGCGCCGATTAACAGAACAACATATCGTACTACCGAATGCTTTTTATTTGAATACTTGTGGTCTTCTCCAACCTTACAGTAGGATATCCTTTCCGATAAAACAGATATTCATAGACAATCGAGCATATACTGGTTCTTCAGCTTAACAATCAAATGCACATGGTTTCGACTTCGTTAATGACACTGAGATGAAAGTCAGGTGTCCAAGTCAGTGAACTACAGCTTCATAACTCCCCACGAATCATTGTGCGTTGAGCCAATTCATCTACGAGACAAGGGAGTTAACACGAAAGAATACAAAACAACAAGGTCAAGGATGACAGAAGATAGACAAGGAGAAAGATGGACTGAATGCATAATGATAATCAAGGCCCAGATTAGGATATGACACAATTAAATCTTATTATACTTCAAACCATCAAACTAATCTAAGTATAATGAGCAGACGGAGTGAAAAGTCGAAAGTAGACAGGCATGAAAACAAACAAAAGTAAAACTGTCAAATAAAGGCTACATAACCTACAAGAATCAGGCAATAGAGACAGACACAACCAAGTGTTTATTCTTTTTGCCACCTCGACTATTTATTTCCAGTTTTCACTCAAATGAATAACTGGAATAGCAAGTATGTTGAAGATGCACAACTTCTGATCAATCAGATATGAAACACAGCAAAAACCTTTTCCATGTGAAATATTTAAGCTACAGTCATGAAGTTTAGACATGTATAAGATGTTTCACAGACACACACAAACCTAGTATTTGTATAAGAAAGGGCAAAAAGTGACACGGTATATCTTCTTCAGGTGAATACTACCCTGACAAGGTGTTAAATTTCCAACAGGATAGATGCGCACCATATATAACCATGAAATTCTACATTAATATTCCGGTATTAACTTCTTGAACAGGTAGGAAAATAGGCAAACATAATCAAATGGAATATTATACAAAGGTGTAACTGTTCCAATTGAAGCACCTAGAAAAATTACAAAAAGGAAAGCTAACGGTGTACACATATTAGGATAAACAAAATCAGACAAACAAAGACTTTTAAGATACACGAAATATTAAATATAAAGACAAAAACGTCACCGTGAAATTTTGAACAGAATTATACCACTTCAAATCTTCCAATGACACCGAAAATGAGAAATGGAAATACAGCCACGTAAAATTAGAGAAGAAGATACAACGAGGAGAAGTCGAATTCATATTAATGAGAATATTTGTACAATAGTGAGAACAGTCCTACTACTGTAACTGTTTATAGAATAAACCTAAAGGTAGCTGTTCGATAAGCATATAAGATCCTCTACAGTTAATTTCATTAAGTTCACAGTGGATATTATACATTCGATCATCATTATCCAAACACAAGAATAATGAAGAGTGAAAAAAGAAGGCTAACGAAACAGATGCATCACAAGGACATGCTAATAGAAGAAAATAATTAGTAACATTAATCATATTATACTTCATGGATAACTTACCTGGATCTTTATCGATAGGGGGATGTAGGCGGACATTGGGAAACTGTGGAGCATTAGCCACTGGTTTTGGAATGGGATTTTCCGCGTGATACTTATAGGCTGCATTTATTCCTGGAGAGTCACCAACTTGTTTAAGCGCCTCCTCTGGTGCTTTGTCAACGGGAAGATGGTCTCGGTCTGATGTCCCGTTTGAGTTACCATGCTCAGCATACTCGGGATCTGGTACGTCCACTTCATTGTCAAAATCCATAGGTTGAATAACTCCATTGTCTTCCTCAGGTTCATCAGCAGGAGGTATTATATCACGAAAAGGAAGTTTATCATCATTATCACTTTTATTCGCAAGGTCTAGTTGTACTTTTCCAGGAACTATAAAGACAAAAGTTAAAAAGTGATGTTTATTTGGCGGAAATTCTGAAACAACAATTTCATGAGAGATTATAATCATACACTCACTGTTACAGACTATATCTCCGGTCATATTTCTAGCAATGTGATCCTTTTCAACTTTGTTTACGTCACCTTCACTATTCCTAGTGCCTCTACTTTCGCAAGCCTCTCATTCTTATTTGAAATCATGGTCCATTTGGCAGGCTTGAGTAGTTATAATAATAATTATTATTGTGTGCTTTAATTCCTAGAGGAACATAGGGCTTCAGCAGTTCGTCTCCTGTGCATTCGGTTCTCTGCTAGAGTCTTTATCTGGCTCCATGTCTACCCACACGTTTTCATATCCTCTTGACATGACCTCCTCCAAGTCACCCTTGCACTGACGACCAACTCGCTGCTTCCCTTTCGGATTCCACTCGAGCAATGGCTTGTCTAGTGATGTCACTTGATGGTTTCCTCAGAGTATGGCCAATCCATCTCCATTTCTTCCTACCTATTTGTTTCACAATCGGTTCCTGGTTGGTTCGCTCCCAGAGATCTCTGTTGCTGATCTTTCCTGGCCATCTGATCTTGAGTATTGAGCGAAGACAGCTGTTAATGAAGGTTTGTAGTTTGTTTGAGATGCTCTTTATGACGCTCAGTGCAAGTCTTTGATCCGTATAGTAGCACTGACTTCACATTGGAGTTGAAAGTCCGGATCTTATGTTTGATGCTGAGTATTGTTGACATCCACACAGACTTGAGACTCGTGAAAGCTTGTCTTGCTTTCCCGATTCTTGCTTTGATATCCTCGTCAGTTCCCACCATTCTAGTTGAAACGATGCTTCCCAGGTAGGTAAAAGAGGTTGTTTCTTTCAGGTTCCTCCCATTTATGCTGATCGTTGTCCGTTGTTGCTGTTGCTGTTCGTGGTGCTGCCCAGGAATCTTCATCACCTCTGTTTTCTCTATGTTCACCTGAAGTCCTATCTTTGATGCTTCTTCTGCTAACTTGTTGCTTTTCGCTTGCATATCTTCCAGTTTGTGGGAAATCAGACATATATCATCGGCGAAGTCAAGATCCTCCAGGTTTTTTGTGTGAGTCCATTTTATGCCTGTTTCCTCATTGCCCACTGTTTGTCGCATTATCCAGTCTACTGCAATCAGGAAAATCATTGGCGATAGTAGGCAGCCAGCTTGTCTTACTCCTGTCCTCACTTCGAAGGATTCCGTAAGTTTCCCATTGTGGATTACTTGGCATGCAGCATTGTCGTACAGCTGTTGGATGAGATGTATTATTGTCGGTGGCACCCCGTAGTAGCGAAGTAGTTGCCAAATCACATCTCGATCGACGCTGTCAAAGGTCTTTTCAAAGTCGATGAAGTTGAGATAGAGAGGTGACTGCCATTCCAGGCTTTGTTCAATGATGATCCATAATGTGGCGATCTGATCAATGCATGACTTGTTTCTCCTGAATCCAGCCTGTTCCGGTCGGAGTTTCTCATCCAGGGCATGTTTGATTCTCTCCAGCATGATGCGGCTTAGCATTTTGCTTGGGATGGACAGGAGCATAATTCCGCGCCAGTTCCTGCATTGACCTAAGTCTCCTTTCTTTGGTAGTTTGAATAAGTATCCTTTCTCCCAATCCTCGGGTACTTTGCCTTCTTTCCACACCTTCTCCAGTAGTGGCGTCATCAAGTCCGCTGTTGTCTCTGGGTCCACTTTCAATGCTTCTGCTGGGATTCCATCTGGTCCTGCTGCTTTTCCAGCTTTAATCATCATGATTGCCTTCAGGACTTCTGATTTCGTCGGGGGGTTGGTGTTCACGGCTAGCTCTGTCTCCGTCGTTGGTATTGTTGGGCGCGTTGTAGGTGGTGGTCGATTTAGGAGTCTTTTGAAGTGCTCACCCCAGTGTTTCCTTTCCTTCACTTCTTTGGTGAGTGACTTTCCGTTGTCATCTTTCACCGGCTTGATTTGTGTCAAACGTTTGCCCGATAGGTACCTAGTTGTTTGGTAGAGTGTTGCGAGGTCTCCTTTGCCTGCAGCTTGTTCTGCTTCACTTGCCATGGCTTCATAATATCTTCTTTTGTCTTCCCTGGCACTCTTGTTTACTCTTTTGTTCAGTGTCTTGTGGCTTGCATTTAAATCCTGTTTTTGTTGCTCATCGGTGCACTGGAGGATCTTTTGTTTCACCATCCTTCTCTCTTCTATTAGCCTCCAAGTGTCCGTAGTGAGCCAGTGTTTGTCCTGCCTCTTCTTTCTGCCTAGAACTTCCATGCAGGTTTGACTCCACACTGTCTTTAAGTTGTTCCAGTGCTTTTCGACGCTGACCTCTTCGCCAGTGGCTTGTACCTTGTACGAGGTAGTGGTCTGAGCCAACTTCTGCTCCTCTTCTTACTTTCGTTTCCAGTAGGCTGCGCCTTCACTTCCTTGAGATTGAGATGAAGTAAATTAGGTTTTTAATTCGCCCATCTGGTGACACCCATGTAGCCTTGTGGATATCCTTGTGTTTGCATACGCTGCCACCAATCACTAGTTCATTGAAGGCACAGAAGTCGGCGAAGAGTTCTCCGTTTTCATTCATTTCTCCGAGAGCTTCTCTACCCATGATGAGTTCCCTTCCTGTGTTGTCTGATCCCAGTTTGGCGTTCATGTCTCCCACTAGTATTTTAATGTCACCAGCTGGAGTATTGTCCATTGTTGCCTGTAGTTGTCTGTAGAATTCTTCTTTCTTTTCGAGGTCTGCGTTGTTTGTCGGTGCATAGCATTGTATAATTGACACTTTCCTTCCTTTGGAGTTGAATCTGGCGGTCATTATCCTGGGCGAGATCGCCTCCCATTGCATCAGGGCCTTCGTTGCCGTTGGTGACATCATGATAGCCACGCCCTCGGTGTGCGAGTGGTTATCTTCTGGGTGACCGGAGTAGATCACTGACTCACCCGTTGACAATTTGGTGAGTCCATTCCCGTTCCATCGGCTTTCACATATCCCCAGTACTTGAATTCTGTATCTTTTCATTTCGTTTGCGATCTGGGCAGCTTTGCCGATCTCGTACATGGTGCGGACATTCCATGTCCCCACACAGACTTTTTCTTTTGGCTCAAGGAGATTCATCGTGCTGAAGTTTCTGTAGCAGCTTTGTTTACAGGGTGGGGTTGCTAGCCTCACGCCTGAGAAGGGGGATTGTTACATTAAATTATAATTTAGAGAGAAGCGACCTTGTGGGTTGCTCCCCTTAAAACCAGGAAAACAGGGAATAAAACAAGCAGAACAACACCAGCACGGGAAAATAATTCACAACAAGAAGGGTAACAAGCGACAACAACAATAATAATATCACAGTCAATTACAGTTAACCAAAATGATACCAAAATCATAGACTCACTGACTTGAGCCAACTTGAACATGTAAATCCATCAATATATACAATTATAGGTATTAGTTAGTGTTAAACAAGCACAGAGTGGCAAATAGATAGTTATAGGTATAATTGATATACAATATTATATCCAAAGATTCAGTGTTTCAAAGGCAAATAATTGTGATAGTTTTTTGCAACTTTTTGACAAGATATTCCACAAAAATCAGAGTATTAGGTAACTATGCAAATGTAGCGCATTAACCGAGTAGTTATAATTGGTACTCTGAATTCGTATCGGTGGATCAAGACGTTATCAGATATGGTTGAGAATCGCAGTCAATGGCGGAAATCGTGCAATTTCCCTCCTTCACCATTTTGGAAACTAACATGAAATAATGAATGATGGATGACACTGACTAATATGCTCACCTGCTTACTGAATGGCCTCTCTCATTCATTCTGTTTTCCTTATATATTGTTGCTTTAATATTATTTATGTGGCGTATCTCTTGGTTTCCATAAAACGTCAAGATTGTGTTTGGATAATGGGTGCGTACTGCCGATGATTCCCAAACTAGGATGAAACAGCAGCTGTCCAGTACTCCCTGGATTTCAATGGTTCTCTAACTGATATCAGTCCGTGATCAACTTGTAAAATATAACTAATCCTTACAAACCAAACTATGGAAAATACTAGCTCACTAGTTTTCCGGCCGGTCCCAATCCCGGATAAAGAGGGAGGGTTGGGGCGTGGTGCAAGCAACTCCACATCCAAAACTTAACCAAATCGCTACAGAAACTTCAACGCACAAATATATTAAAAATTCTAAAAATATGAAGAATAACCTTATTTTTCGCTGGAATCGGGGAAGTGAAATGACCCAGGCTGGTGAAAGCCTTCGGGAAGCCAGTCAGCCGATGTGCCTTCTTTCAATCAAAGCAAAAATAAGGATGGGGACGTGGAATATTCGTACAATGTACGAAACTGGAAAAGCTGCCCAGGTAGCCGCAGAAATGAGAAGATATAAAATAGAAGTATTAGGAATCTGCGAGAGCAGATGGAACGGATGTGGAAGGAGCCAACTGCAAACTGGAGAAACAATAATCTACTCCAGTCACCCAGAGGACAATCACGAGCACACCGAGGGAGTAGCCATCATGATGTCACCAACAGCAGCTAAAGCTCTCATGCAGTGGGAACCAATCTCCTCCAGGATAATGACAGCCAGGTTCAACTCAAAAGAAAGGAAGGTTACAATCATTCAATGCTATGCGCCTACAAACGTCTCAGAACAAGAGAAGAAAGAGGCCTTCTACAGACAACTACAAGCAGTAGTGGACAACGTCCCAAATGGCGATATCAAAATCCTGATTGGTGATATGAATGCGAAGCTGGGAGGAGACAATACAGGAAGAGAACTCACCATGGGTCGCGAGGCCCTCGGCGAAATGAACGACAATGGTGAACTCTTCTCAGACTTCTGCGCCTTCAATGATTTGGTGATTGGTGGCAGTGTGTTCAAACACAGGGATATACACAAGGCGACATGGATTTCACCAGATGGACACACCGAAAACCAGATAGACTTCATTTCAATCGAAAGGAAGTGGAGACGGAGCCTACTGGACACAAGGTCGAGGAGAGGAGCAGATGTGGGCTCAGACCACTATCTAGTACAAGGGACTTTCAAGCTGAAGCTAAAAGCCTCGAGGATAGTTGGGGATAGGCCACAATGCAAGTTCAACACTCAAAAACTGAAGGACACAACCACAAATGACACTTTCACTGTAACTGTCAGAGCAAAGCAGGAAACACTACGTGACATCACTGAGGAATCATCCGTGGAAGACCATTGGAACTCTCTGAAGGTTATTTTCAACGAAACGTGTTCAACGGTTTTAGGAAGAAAGAAGAAACAAGACAAGGAATGGCTCTCAACGGACACTTGGAAGCTAATAGAGGAGAGGAGAATGGTGAAAGAGAAAATGATTCAATGCAAAGATGGACAAGAGAAAGAGACGCTGAGTTAAACTAACACAGCACTGGACAAAGAAGTAAGGAAGAGTGCCAGGAAGGACAAAAGACAATTCTACGACAACCTGGCCACTGAAGCTGAGAAGGCAGCAGGCAAAAGGGACCTGAGGACATTATATCAGATAACCAAGTCTCTATCCGGGAAGAGATCAACACAAGTGAAACCTATAAAAGACAGCCAAGGGAACCCAATTACCAAGGAAGGAAGACAGATTAAACAATGGGCGGACCACTTCCAAGGACTCTTGAACCGACCACCACCTACAACCCGTCCAGAAATACCAACAACAGCACGTACACAACTGCAAGTTGACACCAATCCTCCAACGAAAGCTGAAGTCTTGAATGCAATCAAGCTTCTGAAAGCTGGAAAAGCAGCTGGACCAGATGGAATACCCCAGGAAGCACTGAAAGCGGACCCAGAAACGACAGCAGATATGCTGACTCCATTATTGCAAAAGATCTGGAAAGAGGGAAAGGTGCCTACTGACTGGAGGAAAGGTTACCTCGTGAAACTACCAAAGAAGGGCGACCTAGGACTCTGCAAGAACTGGCGAGGAATCATGCTCCTGTCGACGCCAAGTAAAATCCTGAGTCGCATCATCCTGGAGAGAATAAAGGACGCACTGGACACAGAACTCCGACCAGAACAAGCTGGATTCAGGAAAGGCAAATCATGTTCTGACCAAATTGCAACTCTACGCATCATCATCACAGAACAAAGCATGGAATGGCAATCAAACCTCTACCTCAACTTTATAGACTTTGAGAAGGCCTTCGACAGCGTTGACCGCGAAGTAATTTGGAAACTACTCGAGTACTACGGCGTACCCCAAATATTCATCAACCTTATTCAACAGCTGTACGACAACGGCACATGTCAAGTGATCCACAACGGAAAACTCAGCGAGGCGTTTGGAGTAAACACAGGAGTCAGACAAGGGTGCTTATTATCACCAATGATATTCCTAATTGTGGTGGACTGGATTATGCGTCAGACAGTGGGAAACGAGAAGACAGGGATATCCTGGACCGACGTGAAGAACCTAGAAGACCTAGATTTCGCAGATGATCTATGTTTGATGTCACACAAAATCGAAGACTTACAAGCGAAAACCGACAAACTGGTCGAAGAAGCAGCAAAGACAGGACTCCAGGTGAACATAGACAAGACGGAGGTTATGAAAATAACTAACCAACCAACAACAACAACAGCAGCAACATCCAGCGCCAATCACCATCAACGGGAGGGATTTGAAAGAGGTTACTTCATTCACTTATCTAGGGAGCATTGTCTCAACCACAGGAGGAACGGACGAAGATGTCAAATCGAGAATCGGGAAGGCGAGAAACACATTCATCAACCTGAAACCAATCTGGAAATCTTCGTCACTCAGCATCAACAACAAAATTTCGGATTTTCAATACAAACGTCAAGTCAGTTTTGCTATACGGATCAGAAACTTGGTGGGTCACAACGAATATTTTCAACAGGTTGCAAACCTTTATCAACAGCTGTCTTCGCTCTATACTCAAGATCAGATGGCCGGAAAGAATCACCAACAAGAAACTATGGGAACAAACAAAACAAGAACCAATCGCCCAACAAATATGCAGGAGAAAGTGGAGATGGATTTGACACTCGCTGAGGAGGCCGCTGGGTGACATCACACGTCAGGCCACCGCTCGAGTGGAACCCGAAAGGGATGCGGCGAGTGGGACGTCCAAGGGTGACATGGAGGAGATCATGCGAAGAGGAGTTGAAACAATATGGAAAAACATGGATGCAAGTGAAAAGCACAGCAGAAGACAGAAGCAAGTGGAGACGTGCAGTTGAAGATCTATGTTCCACTAGGAACCCAAAACAACAATAATAATAATAATTCAGCTGACGAAATAACAGGGAAAAGTTGATCAAGTCTGAATGACTTGTACATGTAGTGTCTCTGATTTTTTATCTGAACTGTATGAACGAAATACCGACTGTCTAGGTGGGAACCTCAAGAAAATTGCAAGTGAATTGCTAAACACCGACGGTGACAAACCATAAAATCATTCAAGATCGTGCAATGTATTCCTTCTTTATGACCTTAAAAATAATTAACATTTCCACCTCCTACATTTTCCGCCAAGGTGGATGCTTCTTCATTTATCCGTCATACTACTATTTGAAACCTTTCTGATGGGCTTGTTTATATGCGCCGATTAACAGTACACTATATCGTACTACCGAATGCTTTTTATTTGAATACTTGTGGTCTTCTCCAACCTTACAGTAGGATATCCTTTCCGATAAAACAGATATTCACAGACAATCGAGCATATACTGGTTCTTCAGCTTAACAATCAAACGCACATGGTTTAGACTTCGTTAATGACACTGAGATGAAAGTCAGGTGTCCAAGTCAGTGAACTACAGCGTCATAACTCCCCACGAATCATTGTGCGTTGAGCCAATTCATCTACGAGACAAGCGAGTTAACACAAAAGAATACAAAACAACAAGGTCAAGGTTGACAGAAGATAGACAAGGAGAAAGATGGACTGAATGCATAATGATAATCAAAGCCCAGATTAGCATATGACACAATTAAATCTTATTATACTTCAAACCATCAAACTAATCTGAGTATAATGAGCAGACGGAGTGAAAAGTCGAAAGTAGCCAGGCATGAAAACAAACAAAAGTAAAACTGTCAAATAAAGGCTTCATAACCTACAAGAATCAGGCAATAGAGACAGACACAACCAAGTGTTTATTCTTTTTGCCACCTCGACTATCTATTTCCAGTTTTCACTCAAATGAATAACTGGAATAGCAAGTATGTTGAAGATGCACAACTTCTGATCAATCAGATATGAAACACAGCAAAAACCTTTTCCATGTGAAACATTTAAGTTACAGTCATGAAGTTTAGACATGTATGAGGTGTTTCACAGACACACACAAGCCTACGATTTGTATAAGAAAGGGCAAAAAGTGACACGGTATATCTTCTTCAGGTGAATAGTACCCTGACAAGGTGTTAAATTTCCAACAGGATAGATGCGCACCATATATAACCATATATATATATATTTATATAATTCTACATTAATATTCCGGTATTAACTTCTTGAACAGGTAGGAAAATAGGCAAACGTAATCAAATGGAATATTATACAAAGATTTAACTGTTCCAATTGAAGCACCTTGAAAAATTACAAAGAGGAAAGCTAACGGTGTACACATATTAGGATAAATAAAATCGGACAAACAAAGACTTTTAAGATACACGAAATATTAAATATAAAGACAAAAACGTCACCGTGAAATTTTGAACAGAATTATACCACTTCAAATCTTCCAATGACACCGAAAAAGATAAATGGAAATACAGCCACGTAAAATTAGAGAAGAAGATACAACGAGGAGAAGTCGAATTCATATTAATGAGAATATTTGTACAATAGTGAGAACAGTCCTACTACTGTAACTGTTTATAGAATAAACCTAAAGGTTGCAGTTCGATAAGCATATAAGATCCTCTACAATTAATTTCATTAAGTTCACAGTGGATATTATACATTCGATCATCATTATCCAGACACAAGAATAATGAAGAGTGAGAAAAGAAGGCTAACGAAACAGATGCATCACAAGGACATGCTAATAGAAGAAAATAATTAGTAACATTAATCATATTATACTTCATGGATAACTTACCTGGATCTTTATCGATAGGGGGATGTAGGCGGACATTGGGAAACTGTGGAGCATTAGCCACTGGTTTTGGAATGGGATTTTCCGCGTGATACTTATAGGCTGCATTTATTCCTGGAGAGTCACCAACTTGTTTAAGCGCCTCCTCTGGTGCTTTGTCAACGGGCAGATACGCACGGTCTTCGTGAACCTTATTATGCTCAGGCTTGTTGGTACTTATCCATAAAACAAACAAACCAAAGAACACAATTCCAAGTATTAGCAATTTATTTTTTCGCCAATATAAGCGTCGCATAATTCTTTCGCGCACAGTGTCCTACAAGGCAGTTAAAAAGCTTTTAGTAGAACTCAGTTGATTTAACTTATTATTTGACTTCTCTAAAATTATCAAATACACGTTAACCGGCAAGCAGTACAGCAAACTTTGAGGATCGTTAAAAATAACTACAAAAATAAGCTTTATTACTGAACCAACTAGCTTAAGTAAGTACCTCAGCGTCTTAAGGCAACCGAAAATAAGACATCTCCAAACACACTTCGCTAGCCGCAAACGTGCATGAAGTTACTTCAAAAGCAAATCTTAATATCTAACTACATTCGTTTTATTCAGGAAAAATACTTCTATTAATAGGAAGATCGCAACCTATACTAACTATCCAACCATTGTGAGGATATCTAAATTTCACGAAAACTAGCAGCCAGATGATAGCGCATGAAGTTGTCCAACTCTGGCGATCGGAGGCTGAGTATCATACATGAGATAACGTCGCTAACCTGAATAACATGGAACTGACTCATACCCTAGTACACTATTTTTTCATGTTAAATGGTAGGAGTTGACCAGTAGGAACACCTAATCAATTTAGAAAAGCTTATGCGTAATCATTGTAAAGCCTATCACCAACTTACCACGAAAGAATCACTACATTTTCACCCTCAAAAAACAAAGATAATCCAGGACGACATTGTGCATAACAAAATTTGTCGATTGGTATATCTGAGACAAGATGCGGGTATCGAAATACATTATTCCACGATGGACATCAGTTGAGGTAATATGCGACTTCATTTCCAGAATTGGCACACCAGCCTACGAAGTGTCAGACTGTTAATATGAGCCACATATGGAGACTTCAGGTGCCAAGCTGGATTCGTCGTGATGCCGAAGAAAGATAACAGATTATTTGCCACTGTACAATAGCGTTCAGATTCGAAATTTCGAATATATTCACTGCTCTTTCTTAAATTACTCCCCTTCTCAAATAGGTTCATGTGTTGTAATGTCATTATATTCCTTCCTCCGGCGTTTTCAATTATTGCAACTTTATCAAATGCATATGTGTAAGATTTACCTAAGGCAGTCAAGCAATCAGAGTCAGTCTTCAGCATACACTTACATGTAGCGGAGGAGACAAATGACAACCTATCGAAAGATGACCCAATCCAAGAAATCATACATTAGATGTATATTGTGGGTCATGATTTGTGGAAAGGAGTTATTTCTGATAGCAGACAGTACGTTAAATCGAACTCCATCTCAGTATAAAGTCAATTTTTAAAAAAAGTTAATAAATTAGATAAAGAATTTCCAATATGACACTGTCCTCAACAACACACAATGGAAAACCTTTAAAAAGGGGAATATGGACACATATTCGTTTTCAGTGGTGCAAGTGTTGCGGGAGATCTAATCACAATTACTAATTTGACTCATCATAGAGTCAGACAGTAAAGAATAATGCAGGTAAGATTTCCGATCAGACAAACCACTTTCAACTCCAATATAAGTATATAACTTGGGGACTATGGTAGGGTATAACTCCATTACGGATAAGATTGCATTTTGATAAATCATACAGTGTTGTACAGTAATATTAACTGATATCACTGTACAACACTGTATGATTTATCAAAATAAAATCTTATCCATAATGGAGTTCAACTACAATACGTCGAAAAAGCCAATCTGAGTTCATTTCTACTTTGTCATAAATCAACTGGTCTAATCAATAACTCATTGGATCATCATGTAGCCTAAATTTTCTGTGAAATAGCGCAAAATCTATAATGAATAGAGAAAATTGAAGCGATGGTGCATATCAGTTAGAATGTGAATGATATACTAAGAAACCTAAAACACTTCCCAAGGCATATCATCAATCTAAAATATTACTTAACAAGAAATAATGAGTTACAAACAGTTATCAGGGATACAAATAGTCTTCATAGTTACTGTCCTAGTTTCTAAAACATGGAAATATTATCCTGTGATAGTTAGAAAAGAACATCTGATAAACATTATTTTTAGCATAGGATTCGTATTCATTTGAGAACTGCAAGCGAGGGTTTGTGAACTTGACTTATAAACCAGATATTCAGGTACACATGATGCGATGGCATGTAATAATAACCCGTCAATAAAGAAGACATGAACAAAGTTTGAATCATCAACCTGATACGACAAAGTCGAATGTTCAAATCACAGAAGTACGAAAATTCCCAGAAAATACATAAAACTGTTTTCAATTGTCTCCACACCAAGTTTAGCATGATTTGGTCGTGTGAGTTAGCGTATATAAGTTCCCTCATGTGAATTCGTTTAAATTAGTGTTAAGATTAGGTTTTAGATGAATTTTTTGGACCACTGCTATTGGTAATTTGTTGGGCTCCCAATCAGACAGTTATGTGGACAATAAGGGAGATACCGTTTTCTAGGATGGAAATAAAGCGAATATTGGCGACAAAAAGGGGAAATACCGAAAAGTTTTCCTATCCGTAGGAGGTTACTGATAAACTGTAAGTAGTGTAATTTTTTCTCGTAATTTCCTACGGAATCTCTCCCACTAAATTCAACAATCGAAAAGCACACCCAACTCTCCAGATAATGTCTATCATTATTACTCCCTAGTTACTCTGCAATCACAGAACTATGGATTCCTTTACTAAATTGGTAACCTAGTTGGTTTCACTCACATAGACGAGAAACTTCTCCGCCTTGGGAAACAGGAAATCATGCGTTGACAATAGTCAACTGGAATTCCCTTTGGCAGCTGAAGTAGAGTGCAATCAACTGGAGGCGTCACCAAAAAACCAAAAATTCAGGAATCCCTTCATAATTTTTCAACTCAGCATTGATGATAATCAGATTACAAAAATGGCCGGCAAGTGATGCTGAATTAAACTGGAGAGCTTTAGCTGTCAAGTTGCTTAACAGCATACTGAACACCAAGAAAGTTAGCCTTCACAAACAGCAGCTTCTATTAAGCCATTGCTCATAAGCTTGCTTTATTCAAATGTTTTTCAGCCGTCATTATCAGCAAGTTTGCTTCTGCTACAATTCCTGAAGACGGGTTGAGGAAGACGCAGAAAGCGAGCACTAAGGCCTACTTCGACGACGTCTATGATCGCGTATCGAAAAGCAAAAGTCGACGAAGAGTAAGTATATGTCTCGAGGTACATTTAAATTATTATAAGCTGCCCAACCAAATTCTGGTTTCATTTTTTCAGATTGGTGGATACAGCAAGACCACTGACCGGATAAACACTGCCGTAAGTGAAAATTTCATTAATTGAGTGCTGTAAAAGTCTATGATGCGGTTGTCATTAGGATGTCATAGGTGTTAGGCAAAATAACCTTAATTAGTTTTTAAAACTGTCTCATTATGTCTATTGTTATTGTAAACGAAATTATTATCAATGCTGTCATTTACATGAATTACATGTATATGTAGACAGTTGGTTACACAGTGAATGGTTAATTTATAATCACTAAATGTGCAGTGCAATTTTGGATACTAATTGAGTTGAGTATGGAATTACCTTTAAAAGGTATACCAATAATTTATATGTAATTAAGCTGAATTTTACTCAATAATTCACCAACTCTTATCACTTTAATTAACCCTTTCATTATATTATTATTACTGGCAGTAACGTAATTATTCTAAGTGTAATCGTTGATTATCGCCTTCCTAAATATTAGGTTTCTTTTATTTTCAAGATACTTCAATCGATCTACTGGATGATTACAGTCAGGCGTAATTTGGAATTCAGCTACAAATCTTATTTTTAAGGTTTCATCGCATTAATTAGGCATGCGGTGCTCTCTCTAAAGATAACCAGCATTATTTCAGTACACAGCTGGTTCGTTTTAGGTAGACAAAATATTCAAAACCATAAGAAGGCGTTATAGACGCATAGGTCAGAATTATTGAAGGCTCCGAGCGCCACCTTGGAAAAAAGGGAATTTTGGACAAAATGCCACAAATTTTTCATTGCTTGTTCGATGGTATGCCCATTTTGCTCGCCCTTCTATAATCTGTGTTCCCCATTTCTATCCGAATGGGTTTTCAATTTCGGCAGTTAGTGATTGCATTGCAAGCATTCTCTTGAAAATATGAGGCTATATATTCATGTTTTAATACAGAAAATAAATAAATCAAACACCATTATCTACTTATACAGATATAAGTGCAAAAACCACACCAAAAAATTATTGCAAACCTGAAACGAGCGTTCTCATGTGACTGAGAACAAAGTGCGCGGAATCCCTCTCAAGGTCATCCTTTTGAGTGTGATGAACAAGAATCAGATGCAGATTCGTTGGTTGAGCATAGATGGCTTGAAGCCTATGTTTATCCTTTTCTAGTAAATTCTGTGCTTTTCTGAACTCTTCTTGAATGAATCACTTGAGGCTGTGGGTTTGCCATCGCTGGAATTCCTTACCGGCATATGTAGCTATGGCACCATCTGTGGAGGCCTTTAAGCGAAGGCTGGACAATCATGCAGCGACATAAGGACTGCGTCCAAGTGGCCTATCCCATTAAAATCTCATACGCCACTCAGGGGTAGACAACTAAGTTCGTCGTTTTACTTCTTTACATTCTCTCCCGTCTTACTCTCCTGACAACTTTAACTACACTTATTGTTATTATCATTATTACCGATATATATTATTCATATTATTCTTCAAATTTAATCAGCTGACTGTTGATACATTTTCTTATTTCTTTTTCTGTCTGTCAGTCTGAATAACTTCACTAATTATATCTATTATCATTACTATTATCTCTTTTATTTTGACGACGATACCGGAGGACAAATTGGTGAAAGGATCAACTCCACTCAAAGTATCACCGGTCTTAACACAACTCATACTACAAACCACATATAATTAATCCCAGCAACACTCCTTTTGGAGTCAACTGAAGCTACGACAATCGAGTGGCGGGACGAGCTACGCAGAAATTTACCAAAGATCAGGAACCTATACCTCACAATCTACAGACTTGCACAAAGAAATTAAATTAGTTTATACTAGCTGGTAAAAAACGAAATTGGATATTGGACACCACTACTGCTAGAAGTCGGTTCCAGGGGTTTATAGCTCGGTGTGAGAACTAGTACTCAACAGCAATATGATTTCTTCTTTTCTTTTGGACTATCCTGCTATGTCCTCAAAGGTGTTCGGACCTGGTGGTAGGAAAAGAGAGAATAGATCAAGTCCGTAGTCATTATTTAAAATTTTAAACATTGTGATTAAATCTCCTCTCCTCCTACGGAATGACAGGGAGAAGAGATTTAAACTGTCTAATCTTTCGTCATATGATAAGTTAGTCACGCCAAGAATCATACGTGCTGCCTTCCTTTGAACCCCTTCCAGAATGTATGAGTCCCCTTCAAGACAAGGACTGGCTGACTGGATACAGTTTTCCAGTCTTGACCCCAACAGAAATGTATAAGGAGGTTAAAGTGTCTCTGGTGATTCTAGTAAAGGGATCTGAAACTACGTGCAGCCACCACTCGATAGTGTGCTGTATTTTTTAAATCGCGACTTACTATGACACCTGTATCCAAATGAGTCTTAACTGATGGGAGTGTGACCCCATCTAGTTCGTAGGAGGTGGTGTTTGAGTTTCCGATGCGCATGATAGCACATTTCGCTACATTGATAGGCAGCATCCATTCTCTAGGCCATTCTGACAATTTGTTGAAGTCCTTTTCCAACGTGAGCGTATCAGTGTTGCCCTTCAGCTCTCTCCAAATTTTTAAACCACCTGCGTATAGGACCACAAGGGAATCAGTGAGCAGAAATAACTCATTGATATACAAAATAAATAGGAGAGGTCCGAATACTGTGCCTTGTAGCACTCCGATACGCACTGCTGTCCAGGAGGAGAGTTTCGAGTTGGTCCTAATTATCTACCTCCTATCTGTGAGGAATTCCCAGCGTGGTGACGAATGTAACTTGAGCTATATTTATCTGCAGCATCTCATGGGGTCACATTTATTTTAGTTTATTTGAAGCCGGTTTCATGACCATTTACCTTTGTATAAAAATGTTTATCCTTGGGAAGTATTTAGTTTCACAATCTAACACTTTCATTGATTTCACGACGTTAAATGGCATCTGGATATTGCCAGTATGAAAGGCGGCTGACCCAGACAGATTTGGCAAACTATACGAAAGAAGGCAGCAAATCTTATCAATCATTTTGACTTGCTTTCCTTGATTTACCTCCCATTTTAGAACAATAGCTGTCGTAATTCAATGAAGCTATAAAATAAGTATTATGCCTCTCAGTGAATTCACAATTGGAATATTCAGTTCATTTATCGTTCGAACTTAAGTGCAATTTTTAAGCCTGTAAATATATATTCCGGTTGTCATTGAGACAATAATATCGACTGCTGTTTAATAAACTGTGACAGTAACCAGATTTAGTCGGAATACAGCATAGCTGAAATATCTGCAGGAATTATGTTTAAGAATAAAACAGACGACTTTGTGTGTTACGCATACGAGTGCTCTCATCTATAATTTTTCTGTTTTGTGCAACTACAGGAGAGAGGCATGATTCAGACACAACTTGTAACAACTCGACCAGACAACACAAGCTGCCAATTTCAGACATATGGAGAATTTCTGCCTGGGGGACTGTACCTAAGTAACCTGTGAAAGTTTGCTTGCAATAATAATAAGACGAAGGAAGCGAAGGTAACACTTCGTAGGAAGGAGATTCCCTTTCAATAGACGTTATATGATTTGAAGCACATCCAAATATGAATTCATCAAATTATATGGCATGGTTCAACAGATATAGACGGTTTACATTCGAATCAAATCAGCTGCCCGGATGATTTTACCTAGACCCACAGCCACAGATAATGAGCGCATGTAACCTTGCAGTCTACCTTACCCACAAACATGGTATGAGCATTGTACTGACCGAGCGTTTCATCAAAAGGTTTACAAACCCGACAGTGCTTACTCATATTCATCTAGACTTTTCTCTCATCCTGGAGGTCTCACTCTCCATAGCGTCGACGCACGTCACGATGCTTTTGACTCTACCTAGCAGATTTCGAGCTACTGAAACCTTGGTTCTATTATATTGCACAGGGATATCCTTTATCCATGAAACTCCAAGTTTAGTTTGTATTTCGATCCACTATCCATTTACTGGAGGCTAGGATGAACTAATAACCACCTAATTATTTGTAAAGAAAGGATTCCGCCAGATTCATCAGTGAAGTTCTAGGAAACCAGTTAGGTGGGCTTCTTGGATGATTTCAAATCTGTTTGCAGTTGGTAACGACTAGATTTAACGCTCGCGATTGATGTGCGGCTACCAATCCTGCCTTACGTGAGCTCTAGACACACTAACTGCTGACTCTTTAGGTTGGGACACCCAACCTGATTTTTTTTTTATTTCCTTCACGTTCCCCAGTGGAACATAGGGCTTCAAGCTAGTGGCTTGAAGTTTCTGTAGCAGTGCTTATTTTACAGGATGAGGTTGCTAGCCTCATGCCCAACCTTTCCTCTTCACCAGCGTTATTTCTGGGTTAGCGAGGTTAAGGAGTGCGTCGGTCGGGGATCGAACCCCGGACCATGTGCATGGTCGGCGAGCGTCCTAACCACTATGCCACCACCACCCAACCTGATGGCCACACTGATCTTTTCACCACCCGAACTAGCGAAAGCAGAATATAACATTTGTGACTGCTGAAAGGTGTACTTATTGTCAATGATTTGTGGGGAAAGTAACTGTAGATAATCACGTCAAAACGATGCCACCGAGATGTCTCTTGAAAATCATATTCATCACCATGTGTTACAATCAGCACGCATAAGCAAACTGATCTTTCAAAGTGAAACGGCTGGGATCCAATTGAGTTGACGAACTCCTTCGATCGCCTACAGAGTCAGGAAGTTTTACGGCTCCAAAATGTAATCTTCATCGAAACAAGAAGAACAAAATTTGCAGTATAAAATGTCCATATTTTGTATCGAGGCTTCTTTTTAATCGCAGTCAGCATAAAGTACACACAGTACTAACACAAATTCTTTATTCTAATAGCAGGAGATTAGAACAGAGATCGCAGACAGAAAGTAATTATTTGTCAAATGTCTAGGAGAATATTCGAAGAAACTCTCTAGTTGACTTGACAAAACAACACCAGTGGGCCAGCAGTGTGCAAAAGACGATGGATTCGCTGACATTCTAGGGGGATCGGACAAAGCGTGTCACAGCCCGCTCTTACATTACAAAATTATTCAAGTGGTGGCTTTCAACACCGACAATTTGCTTAGCAGAAGATGAGACCTAAATGACATCCTTCGGGAACGATGCTGGTATTTCCCTAGTCCAACTTTATTCTTGGTGATACTTGTGTCGTCATGCAAATAACTTCTCGGTTACGATTAGAGGGTCACCTCTCACAGCTTCGGCTGTGATTTGAGCAGCGCAATTAGCGGAGTACAGTAGGAGGTTGATGACACTCATACAGTGATTTACAAATGATATGTGGATTGCTTTGCACGTCCAGCTTTTCACTCATGCCACACGCAACTTGATAGGACAAACCCATTTCTATGGAAAGACCGAAAACTTTCGCTCACATTGTCACTAGTGAGATTAATGGATACAAAGGACAACTTGCATATACATCATACAACTATTGACTTGGAGATCCAAACTTTGTATTTCACTTATTTAAACACTATTCAACTGAAAAGTAAGCCTTAAACAAAGAGCCGAAGTAAGATTTACAAGCAGGATTTCAGGAAGAAGTTTGAAAGTTTCCTAAACTCTTGTTGTATTTCCTTGAATGTGGAACCTCTTGGCCGAAGATTAAATCCAATTTCCCATATAAAATTCTCAGGTGAATGACAGTCATCCTGAGTGACAAACACCTTTCTTAATCCAGCATCCACAGTAGCAACAGATCCCTGCAAACTAATTAGTTGTTGCACTAATTCAATTTCACATTTCTTTACCACAAAATACAGACACATTCAACCTTTCAACAGCCTGAGTGAAACAGTACGACCGAAGATAACTCATTTCTCTGACGATTACCCAACTCTGAAGGTCATCGTCACTGGCTGAGCACCATCTAAGCTTGTGATGCCATCCACATCACAGAATTTCTGTTTATTAAAATACTGAATCAGGTGATTACTTTTTTATTAAATAGAAGGTACATACCCAGTAGCAAGGAGCGACTTTATTGCATATCCCCTCAACGACGTTTGTCTGTATGTTGCTATTGGTT